TGATGGGTACTCCAGCTAGTTATAATTAACATTCTACTTAAGAATCAAATAAATTACAATACATTATACTGAAGATGTGTTCATGATTACATACATTTGTATAATGTTTAATGAATTAGTTATAATACTACAGTTTGATACACTCATCATCAAAGCAAAAAATAAGATGAAGCAGTTCTAAGTCTAATATTAGTTACAACATAAAGTTAACAGACTTTAATAACTGAATATTCTATTCGTGCTTAAACCAATATAATGTATAGCGATATTACAAGTTACTCTCATCTCATTCAAAAAGCCATAAATCATTTTATAGGACCAGTTTATCTTAATAAAAAAAAAGGACCTTCACAATGTTAAATAGTTTACAAGAATGTGTAGGACATGCTTAATTTCTTTTTTTTTAGTATTTGTTTCTTCTATAATAGGAGTACTCATGCTGTGGAAAAAGAACTTAGAAGCAACAGCTGATAAAATCACAGCCTTTAGCTGAATGTTCAGTTGGAAGGAGAAAAAAAAAGCTCTGGGTTCAAATAATGGAAATTTTGAACTTAATAACTGATGCTTATTGTAACTTTGTATAAAAACTGATGAAATATCAGTGTGATGTTTCCCCTGTATTACAGAAAACATATTAGCATGTGAGTGTAAAAATCTTGGAAATGAGCCACAGGGAATATTACAAGTTCTTAGCTTCTTATTAATGACAATAAAAGAATTAGGTGATTTGATCATAGTCTTTAAAACCGTTCTATAGGGAGAATATGAAGGTGACACGAGTATAGCATTTAAAATTTTTTCTATGATGGGAATAAAAGTTATAATTTTCCTACACTGAAAATGTATTTCAGACAGGTACTTACTTCCGGTCAGTGCTGCCCTCTATTTGCATACATTTTTTCACATGCCACAAGCCTTTCACTTCCACGCACACATGGTTTAACTGATTCTCAGATGAATATTATCATGCGACAAACCTCCACCAATAGTAGTGCCACACATCCACGCAAATCATGTTACTCCCTCTATGCTATTCTACCTAACTATCACTTCAAGTTTAAGCAGAAATGTAATCACCAATTGACAGTGGGGAGGAAGGGTAGGAAGTGTGAGTGGAAGTAAGTACCTGTTGGAAATACATTTTCAGTTTACAACAAGGGACCTTAATTCTGCTCACATACTTAGCTAGAATCCCACATTGAATAAGTGTAGAGACTGGTGTGAGGTAGAAAGCAGAATCATCCATCAAAAGCATCTGAAGGACAACCTACTGAGGGGACCCTCTGATAAGAGTATTATATGTGGAAGACTATACAACTTTTGTACAAAGTATACTATTCATCCAGATGTGGAAAAGGTGTGACAGATCCAGGCAGCAAACTGTGAGGAGCACATTTGAATGGGAGAGAAAATAATTGTACAGAATGTGAATAAAATAAGGGATGTGCTCCAAGGTGTACGGTGGCTAAGGCACGACGAACCGTACATGGCAAGTCAACTGCATCCAAAACTCGACCGCCTGGAACCGACATTCATGTGTGGGTAGGATGAGAATCATTATGTTGGTAAGTCAACTACAATCCAAAACTCGACCGCTAGGAACCAACATCCTTGTGGGGGTAGGATGAGGGATCCCAATCAAAGGGGTGAACTGCATTCATGCTGGCACACTACATGATCATAACAGGTGGATAGCAATGTTTAATTTTGATATTTTGGGTTTGTTTTTTTATCGAAGAAGGGGTGGCTAATGAGCTGAATAAATTTCTGACACTTCATTCTTTATTACAAGTTATATATTACTAGCCACAACCCTCAAAACATTTGCAGCAGTTTTCATGCCCTGTGCTTGAATTTTCTTTATTCTATCATTTTTACATACACCATTTAAACTAAGCTTTCTTTGAGGCATTATATGTTAGATCAATAAATCCTGGTCTCTTTGAAAAAATTTTAGGCAGTCAGACAAACAAACTCCCGTAAATGTAACTTTATTTAATAAAACTACATGTAAAGCAAATAACAATATGCACAGTATGAGACAGTTATGAGCATTCAGTTTACGACATGGCTTTACGAGTTGAAACAAAGAAACTCACAAAAACAAAGAATAAAACCCATTGTAAAAAAAAAATAAGTAACTAAACGGTGTTTATAGCAGTCTAAGAAATGAACCACAGCTATATTATTGCAAAGTAAGGTAAATGCAAAGCTGTAATGAAGGCAAGATTAGCTCAATATGCAGAAATGTCAAATGCATGTTCACAAAATGATAAGCATATGGTTTTTAATGAACTGCACGTGTATTTTAGACCTATATAAGTGGAGAAAGCCCACAGAAATTGTATTTAGTGTAATGTTAGTTTTTCTTTAGGAAATTACACATGCATTAAGTGTTGTTTATGGGAAATAATTTACAAATAAAAAACTAAACTTGAAATTGAAGCTAGTCATCATGTGATAACAACAACATCGTGCTATTGTGTACTATACTTGTTGCATTGAAAAATGTGACTAAGCAAAAAAACAGGTAAGGTGATTCTGAATTGAAAAGCCAATATGCAAACCGGACTCCTTGGACAAAGGCCTTTCTAATGATATGAGATTTGCAGCACTTGATTGAGAAATTTGCAAGAAAAGTTCTGGACAGAGAAACACAACCATATTATTTATATAGATTTTAAACAAACCTCTTTTCCTGGTTTTTAGGCGTTGACCTGATAGTGTCGGCTTTTCTGTTTTCTGATTCATACAAATGCAGCTACAGAAAAAAAGAATCCATAATTGAAACACATGTAAACAATGAAGAAGACTGATTTTCTTTACTGTTTGCTGACTTCCACAAATGTGATTAATCTTATAGAAACTACACTGGACACAAAAAAATCACTCCAATTATTGCTATTAAATTTAAATATGATATAAACAGCTTTAAACTTCAAATTCTTAAAAATATATCAACAGACATAATAAACAATAATATTTCTTCATTGTTTAAAACATATACAAGTTTCGTTCAACTAATAATTTCAAATCTTAGATCTTGTTTTTTGGTACTTTATAAAAAAAAATATATTATAAAAAACCAATATTTTATAAACTCATAATATCAGAAAAACACACAAGTTCAAGAAGTCTTGATACAAAATTAAAAAAACCTATAACCCACGCACTTAAAACACTTGGGTTATAGGGTTTTTATTACTTAATATTTTATAAACGATAGTGAACATAAGAAATTGCTTTAACATATATTCCACACTTATAGACTATAAATTTTGGGTTAAACTCCAACCACTTTTATAAAAACATTTGACAGTAAGTAAAACTGTCCTTCCAGACTAACTCCACATGATACATTTTTACACTGGAGCAAACCTGGAAGTATAATTTTATAGAATTATTTGAACATTTAAAATGGCAGAAAACTTTTTCCTATTTGAAAATCAAGTTCTGAAAACTATGGTGATATATTCTGAATAAAGTTGGGTGATTAGTGACATTTAATAACCAGTTAATTGTTAGGATTATTAATTGATTACATTCAACTAACCAATTATTCTCATGAGACTTGGATAGATGGAATAGTTTAAAATAATAATAACTGGAAGCACTAATTTTGATTATTTAATTATTTTCATAAGTCTTGACTAATCGAGTAAGTTGAACAGCCTTGAATTAATCAAAAATAATGAGAGTTGATAATGGCAATAGTTGGAATAATCAGAAACAAAAATTTTAATTAGTTGAATATTTTCACAACATTGATAAATTTCATCATAATTTTGATTAATCGATTATTTTACATGACACTAACCAATGTAATGGATGCTCACAGGCAATCAAATAACCAAGTTAATCCCCCAGCTCTATTACTGAGTTAGTTTTTATCAATATAATGCTTGAGCTTCATCTAGAACAAGAATTAAAACAGAATGATTTATTTCTCTTTATGGTCAGATTCCTTTGCTGACAAGATTTTTCCCAAATCCACTAAGTTACTCACTGTCTCTTTACATAAGTACTTTTTCACAGTTTTTCATTCTAAATAAGATAATACTTTAAATTTTTTAATTACATTAAAATTACATATGATATAGGTCAAAAATTGTTTATTTACTTTTCCTAAAAGCTAATGTTTACAATAATCAACTGTTGGTTTCTTATAATCACTTGCTAGTAATATTATTTTTATAGTTCCCAAGTTGAAAATACAAAATACATGCTTTTCTTCCCATAAATCAAACAAGGTTCAGAAAAGATCTAGCAGAATGATTCCACATTTGGAGATGCTTGTAAATAGGATTTCAGGTTAAAAGCACTGAAATACTGGGTGGTCATCAATCCATTCTATGAGATACTAGTTAGACCTCATTTGGAAAACTATGTTTCATTTTGGTTGTTGATACTAAAAACCTTTTTTTTTGTAGGGGATGTACAGTGTTGGAGCAAATGATATTGGAAATTAGAAGAATTGCTTTAAAAAATAATGAACTCCTTCAGAGGTTTAGGGATTTGGGAATGACTTACTCAGTAGGATCCAAGGCCAGTGTTTCCTCTAAGCTGCATGTCTGCACACCAATCAATCAAATGCTGCAGACTTGATTATTCCAGCCGCACACATCCTCAGTAATGTTGAGGAGTCTCAACACACTGACAGCCTTAATGACCCTGGCAGTCAATTGGCCTACAACCCAAATAACCAACTGGTAACATTACAAAGCAGCCTAATGATTCAATAGGGTTGATGGTCTAAAATTACCCCACCCCAAAAAAAAAAATTAATTCCACACATAGATTGAAAAAAGTAAAGGGAACATTGTCCAAGGCTTATATGAAATATTTTCAAAAATATGCTTAGAGCAACAGTTGGTCTGGTTGGATCTGTAGGATACTCTTCAGACACCACTTAAATACATTAGGAAGCAGGATGTTTAAGGGAGCTCTAAATATATTTTGATTCGTTAAAGATAGTTTAAATTAAATGTGCATAGTGGTGAGGGATATTGGAAATAAAAAACAGATAGGATAGCTAGGGCAACAATGATATTTGAAAAATATTTAAAGCATAACAGTTAAATAATAATAATTTTTAAAGATAAGTATGTCAGAATTAAGGATAAACTTACTATTATTCCAATGTTGGGAGTATCAGAAACAAAATCTATTAGTCCAGGGCTCAAGCTACAGTTATAACTGGAATTATTGAAACTTAGTTAGATTTGGAGAATACTGATAATAGGAATTATTTTCAAATTCCAGGTTATAAATTGTTTAATAGTGATAAAACTTTTAAAAAATGAGTAGAGTAGTTCTTTATGTAAGGGAAGAGCTGCTGTTGTTGATTATTTTCTTAAACTCTTCTAAAGTGTTGGCCCTCACTACCACTGATGACAACTCATACCATAAGCCAATTATAATGACTTTGATCAATTGGTAAAATGGACAAATATTTGGTAAATGACCAAGAGTATAACAAGTGTGAGAACAATGCATTTGGATTATGGTAATTTGAGCTACACATTTATTATAGAATGGAACCTACTTAATAGCATGACTGAAGAAAAGAAATTTGGAATAATGGTGGATAAATAACTGAAGCCATCAAAGACAGGTTTTGTTAATAACAGTAAAGCAAATAAACTTTGAAATTGTATTTATAGATGTAGTGATTACAAGACAACAAGGTAATTATCTCCCTATAGAAATAGAAGTGTGTGTACAGTTTTGGTCTCCTCAGTTAAGAATGGATATTGACTTACAATTACTGAAAAGAGTTAAGGGAAGGACAACAAGGATGATTCTAGGAATGAAAGAGTTATCTAATAGGAATAGGTTAAGGTATCTTATTTTCTTTTGAGAAAAGAAGAGTAAAAGGTAATCTTTATGAAGTTTACAAGATTATCATGGGAATCATTACAGCAAAGGCCCCTGATTTATTTGTGCAATATAGTATACTTAAGATAATAAGATGAGAAGACACAAGTTTGAGATGTATAAAAAGACAATCTAGGATCCAGTTAAGACACTTTTATTTTTTCTAACAGGGTGATTGACTTATGTAATGAGTTGAAGTTGGCATAAGTGCAGACCAGCACTTACATTTTTCTTGAAAATGAGTATACAGTGATAGCCTTGAAGAACCAAGTGGTGAGTGGTCCCTTGTTGTCTGCATGTTATACTGTGTTACTGAAGGAGTTTAAGAGGAGACTGAATAAATATTAAAGATATCAAAATTGGATATATGAAGAGTGGTTTTGTCATGTTGTTTAGAGTAAGGTGGTAGCTGAAAATGGATAGCCTAGATGGACCAAATTTCTCCTTGCTAGCCCTTGGAAATAAAATTCAAAATAAGACTTGGTGTTCACTTTATTTCACAAAAACAAAGAAAAACATTTATAATAAAAATTACTGATAAGAATACAGAGACAGTCCATCTACCACTACAAAACATTCAGATAACCAAAACTAGACTAAATGTAGCTTTCTAATCCATGAATCCAGATACTCAAGTTTATAGTTATACCAATTACCATAATATTCAAGTTCAATTTCCCATCTTTTCAATCCAACAATAAAACAGATAAAAAAAAGTATTTTAATCCTAATAATTTAAACGTCTGAATAAAGTACACTTTAGATTTTCTGTGATGTACAGAAAAATCCCACAACTAACACAACTTTAATTTCAATTCAAATAACATAAGTGATAACAACTTAACAAGTACTCCTGAACTTAAGCGTTTACTACACAGTATGAAGTTCTCCAATCTTTTATAATATAAAGTTACAACAGCATTCATAATGTTGTAAACCAGGTTAGTACTATGACTTAACCTGCTAAGCCTAACTTCGGTTAACTAACACAATAAATTATAACTTACAAGTACTAATTTGAAGTTACACTACAGTTACAATGGCACACAGCACAGTAATGTAAGTTTGTAACACACGGCGTTAGTTCAATAGTTGTTACATAAACACTAGAAAGCCTAAAGTAAAATCAAACTTTAACTACAAATTTTATTTATGGAAAATACTTAACTTGTTTAACTTTAATCTAATTAATATATAAATAATGAAAATTTAAAAGCAACACTTACGTGTTGTCCCTGAACAGTTTTTCACAGTTACCAATTTCACAAATTTCTCCACCTAGCGGACAAGCTTAATTCCTCATTCTTCGATGACGTGCACGTTTAAAAAACAGATTCTTGTGATATCATACTATTAAAAAAACAAAGGACCATTTAAGCAGTAAATCTCCCCCCCCCCTTCCCAGTGGCTCAGCGGTAAGTGTGAAGGCTTATAATGCTAATAATCGTGTTCGATACCTGTGGTAAGCGCAGCACAGATAGCGTTGCTCATAACAATAAACAAACAAAAACCAGTAAACTCCAGTTACAAAGGAAGATTTTAGTAAAAAAAAAATATATAAAATCATTATAGTTCTAGTTTTAAGCCAAAAAAAGGTAAATCAATGCGGAGAAAAAATATTTAACAGTTGAGAAATTGTATCGATGAATTGGTCTCTCTGATATTGATTGCTGAAGTCCCCATGCGATCGCAATAAATGTTTCGTATATCTTTATGATTTCAGTAATTTCTAATTGAGAAATAAAACAAACATTTCGTAAATCAGTATATCGTACAAGATAAATAAAAAATTGGGAATTTAAAAAACCTATAAAAGGGATCGTAAAAAAGTAAGGAAGCAAGGCTAGAAATACTGTAGACATTATTTATTCAAACTACAAACCCCTATTTTGGCTCCATGCTGTTACCTAGAATTATGTTTGGTGGAGTCAAAAGAGATATTTGTAGTTTGAGTAAATAATGTCTACAGTATCTCCAGCCTTGTGTCCTTACTTTTTTATGATCCCTATCTACAGGTTTTTAAATTCCCAATTTTTTGTTTCTCTCGCTTGCTGGCTTTTTTAAGCTCAACTATGGGCAAAGGATTACTTGATATGGTAGCTAACTTTATAGATTGTGATGATAATAATGTTACGTCTCCGTTTGTTAATTAACTTTCCATAACTTCGTTCCGACGAAACTTTAGCGACACAAGACCTTACTTAATAAAACGGGTTTATTCTTTCTGAATATAACTTCACGATACGCTTATTTTCAACAGTCGCTCTTTTACAAACGTTTTAACAACAAACGTTAACTTCAACAATACGTCTCTCTCTGACTGCAGTTCAATTACTCATTACCTATACACACACTATTACATTATCCTCGCGTCACGTTGTCCCCTCTTATATATACCCGCCTACCCTAGTAAATACTAGAGCATTCATGAAAGAACAAGATAGTTCTAGAAAATAGAGGGCGCCATACCAGTCACGTGACCTCGATGACGCAACAATAAACATAGCTAGTTGGTAGCTGATACGGCTCATGATGATTTACTGTAGCTATTGGCTATTTGTCGCATCAGTTCGAGAAATAAAACGTTAAACTGCAACTGGAGATTATCATGGAAATTTATTTGGAAATATAGTGAACATTTATAGTTTCTGTGTAACTAAATTTTCTTTATATAATGCATAGCAATGGGCAAATATATGCCTAAACTAAGACAAAACTCACACTAAGCGCTCATAAAATTTTACCAGTAGAAAAGTAGCTGTTACGTCTCCGTTTGTTAGTTAACTTTCCGTAACTTCGTTCCGACGAAACTTTAGCGACACAAGACCTTACTTAATAAAACTGGTTTATTCTTTCCGAATATAACTTTA